GATGAGATAAGAGCCTCTAAATCATGAATTTTATTCCTAATACTCCTGGCATTTAAATACAGACAACAAAGGGTAGGCCTATTATGGTTCCCCCTTATATGATTTTTTGGGGCTTTCCGTTTCCCCCCAGTTACATTCTTAACTAACCTCCCTGCCCCCCCAGTCCCTAGTTTAAACATTCCTCAACTACTCTACAAATACGCCTTCCCAGCACACTGGTTCCCCTCCGGTTCAAATGCAACCCATCCAGCTTGAACAGGTCCCACCTGTTCCAGAAGGTCCTCCAGTGCCCCATAAACCTAAACCCCTCTTTCCTACACCATCCTTTTAGCCACGCATTTAATCTCCTTATCTCAGCTAACTTAGCCTGACTTGCGCGTGGCACAGGGAGTATTTCAGAGAATACCACCATGGACGTTCTGCTTCTAAGCTTATTGGCGACTTCTATAAATTTATCCTGCAGAACAGCCCTTCTACCCTTGCCTATGTCGTTGGTGCCAACATGCACCACGACAACTGGATCCACCCCAGCTGTGGCCAAAAACTTGTCCACATGATCTGGAAGGTCTCCTACCTGGGCACCAGGCAGGCAAGACACCGTACGGGACCCTCTATCACGCGTGCACACATAACTGTCTAACTGTAGTAAACTGCTTAATTTGCTTAATTTAAATATAAAGTGCTTAATTCGTGACAAAGCTTGACGGAGCTCAGCTCTGGGATCTCAGAGCAGTCTGCGCTCCAGCACCTCTCTGATGTGCTCCACTACCTCAAATGCTACACCCAAGATAGTTAAACTTAAAATTAATCTGAATTAAACTTTGGAATAAATGCAAATTAAACTAAAGAAATGCATATTTATACAATCATTTATGTTGTATGATTTTTGACATGCATCCAGCTAAATTAGTATATTTAGTTTGTTTGACCTGATGTGAAAGGGAAAAACTGCACCATGCGTGCATAGAAAAATCCACTTTTTGGCCACTAAAATAGATGAGGTTAAATGGTAGGTTGTTACAGCAAATGGGCTTGAAATTTTTGACAAAGCAACAAAGTAGAGCAGAAAGAACCAAAAAACCTGATAGAAGAACAAGCAGAGACAGTGAGGAGAGGAGTAGCATTTGTACATGCTAATGCTAATGTGAAGCACCAGAAAAAGGAGCAAAAAAAAGGGCAAAGCAGATGAAAAGATTGAAACTAAATGTAACTAACAGCTTTTGATAGAAAAAATTGCATTGTTACGTTTAAGTAGTTAATAGCTCATTGTTGTTATTAAAGAATAATTTGTATATATGACATCATCATGGTCTTTGAGCTCCAGCACCTCAGAGTTTACAAGTTAAGCTGCGCCATAGACATTGGTTCAACGTTTAGTTGTCATGATAAAACATAATTATAAAATTGACGTACCGGTAGTCAAATGACCCATCTTGATCCTTCTGATCAACTGCATCCAGTGGAAGGTCTTTCTTATCACGCACTAAAAAACACATAATTGCTTAGTACCCTTCTAAATGATAACAGGTAAGCGTGCATCAGTTGTATCAGTTGATCATCTTTCACGTCCAGTGTCCTTCAAAGCATTTTTATCATCTGGTCACTTTTAATAGCTTTTTATTTCCTATTGTGTTAATCTAGAACAGGGGTGTCAAACTCCAGTCCTGGAGGGCCAGAACCCTGTGTAGCTTAGTTCTTTCCCTGTTCTACCACAAGTGATTCAGCTCAAGAGCTGTGTGGTAATTAGCACAAGGAAATGTAAGAAGATAAATCAGGTTTGTCAAATGAAGGGAAACTCAAAAATGTGCAAAGCTCTGGCCCTCCTGGACTGGAATTTGACAACCCTGAACTGGAGCCTGTGATGGAAAGGGTATACCGTGGGCAAGACACCAGTTCATTTTGAGGCATTTGGTTAAATGTCACCTGGATTTCTGAACATGGTTATTTTTTATGCAGTCCCTGTTATCTGCAAAAATAAAGGCAATACAAAATGGATAACGCAAGGGTCAAATTTTCACGAGAGCCTTGCTCCCCCTTACAGTATAATTCATTGTGAGCCTACCTGGATACTTTCCACCACGACTCCTCTTGATGAAGCATACTATGAGTAGAATGAGCACCAGCAGTGCAATGGCACACATCAGCCCAATGAACCAGCCCTGTGTTGCTATGTCAATCTGGTCCTTGCTGTATGCTGAACAAAGACGCAGTTGCACACACACACAAAACACATGGAGGGAAACAAGAGGTGTGGAACGTACAAAGGGAAAGAAAGAAAGAGAAAAAATTCATTGAGGTCACCTACAGAGAAAATACAATACAAAATAATACAGCTGGCCAGTCCCAAATCAAATTCATGTATGAGTTTTACGAAGAATCATTTGCACATTTCTCTTAATCTTTTCATCTCTGTAACTGAAAACTACTTTGTTTTATGAACTATCAGACCATATAAGTATTTGATGTTCTTCAACAACCTTTTTCTCTACAATACGATTCATGATCAACTTATATAGTTTTTTTTACATACAATATAGCAAAATACCATTTGCAATAACATGTGCAACTTCATAATTATGAAATTCATGATAACCATGAATATTGATCTTGTTTTCTAAAGGCACCAGTATATATGAGTATAATTCAAATCAACAAGTAGAAAAGCATAGGCAAAATTCTTCCATACTGCAGCCACAATAGATATCTAGAGAACACATGAAACATCAAAAACTGTAGAGAACTGAAACTGCCATATTTACTCATGTAAAGTATATTGACACTGACATCTTTCTCATGGCTCAAAAATAAGTTTTTGATGTGATAGGGCAGTGATAGACCAGGGCTTCCTAATCTAAGGCTTAATTTTCAAGAACACCATATCTATATCTTTAACCACAAGAAGAATGTACACAATGAGCACAAAAATTATGTACTGCAGCTGAGAGACTGATTCATGTTAACAATATCTCCTGATTTATGGGCTGAGGTTGAAAAAGTGTGGATACTCCACACTACCAGTCTTATACTTCTGCCTTGTGCTGGCCCTTGAACTGCCTCACCTGCACTGGTCTCAAAGTCGACGTACTCGCTGCTGATGCCAAGGTGCTCGTGGGAATACACCCGCAGCTGGTACCTGGCCCCCTCAATCAAACCTGCAAGCTTTATGGGGGGCTGGTGTTTGACTGGCACACTTTTCATAGTCCCGTTACCTTGGAAGACACAAGAGAGGTACCCATCATGGGTAGGAGTGGCCTGCTGAAAGGACACAAAGATGGGGCTTGTGCTAGATGAATAGCTCACTTGAAGTGATGCAGCCCCTCCCCAGTTAGCTTTCAGAACTCTATGTTAGCTTTAGGAGCTTTTTTGGAACTCTAAGAATATTTTAGTTTGCCTTTTAAGAATATTTGTTTATGGGTAATTCTCAGGAGAAAAAAATATGGGAATTGCAAAGCTGAGTGAAAACAGAACAGAAAAAGGTGACATTACATTTAAACTCTCTGAATATATAAATCCTTCTCCTGAGAATTCACTAAAGCTACTTTTGCCAGCAAATGGTATTTATCAGAGAGGGGAGTGTTGCATCTCAAGTTGTCTCCACACCTCTTTTCATCTCAAATGGAAAATAGAAGGAAAAATAGCTACCTTCTGGTCAAAATTAGAAAAGTCATGCATCCATTGAAACAGATTGTCTATGCCAAAAGGAGATTGTCAGACCACAAAGTAAACCGAACTGAAAAACATTCCCCATGTTCTGGCATTTACAGCCACCTTGAGAAAGAATAAGTTCAACTTTGGTCACTAGCCCTGAAATAATACACAGAAGTCCCTGTCTGAAAAAGGAAAAGGAAGAATGTTTGCTTGTGAAAAGACTGCATCTGCACAAATGTTCAAAGCACTACTGCATGCATATCAAGCATTTAAGTGTTCTGCCTCAGGAGGTAACATGTAAGCAGAAAAATCTCACAAAACTGTGAGCATTATAGTAAGGAAGAATGATTATGCCATGATCCTACTGATATTCAACCCTGCAAAAACTCCCTACAAGCTGCAATGAGCACCAGAGTGAGGCCTTAACACCACTGGCATACAATGTTGCACCAGCCATCATGCTACATGCAGACACAGACAGCCTCAAAGAAATGGTGTTAGAACATCTAATTGGTAGGCAAAACAGAGATCATTCCACTGTTAGAAAGTAGGTGGAGAGTTTCCATCTTTCCACCCACGAGAACACTTTGGTGTGCTGCTGATGTTTGTTTAACCATTTTTAAAGCCATTAAACCAATGGCTGTCAAGTGTGGTCTTGTGTGTTTGCTGTTTTCTATTACTCCCAACTTAGAAAATTAATTAACAAACATATAAAGAGACCTTTTAATTCAATGGTATTTCTGATGAGCTTCACAACATAGTAGTTTGTTCAGAGACATACCGTTAGCTTAAATGGAAAACAATTCTCCAGGAAACTCAGTAGCCAGCCTTGCCTAGAGATTGCATGATCAACTCCAAAACTACAACAGAAATTTCCCAGTCCCCTCAGTAGTGTGACAATTGCAGATATCCCTAAATGGGAGGTGACTGTAAACTACAAGAAGATTTATTGTTACATGATGACAGGAAATGTGAAGTTTAGCAGTAGAATAAATATAGGTTAAACTGCACAACCAGGAAATCAAAGCAAATGCACTGCATGGTAAAGGACAGATATTTCATGGATGAGAAATGCAAACAATACAAGTGATCTGAAGCAGCTAGATTCCAACGGGACTTTCCTGTGAGAATGTTGGAACATCTTTTTGAAACATCAGTTTGAAGGGCAGAGATATCCTTTTCATCTGGACATGCAAGTCAGATGTTCTAAGGACACCCTTTGCCTTTACCAAAAGGTAGCCTAAAATATCAGGTATACTATAACACAGCAAATGTATTGACATATATACACTATCACAGTCTCTGCATAGCTCTCTAAATTAGCCACACTATATTATGCAGACTTTCTAAAGGGAACTTTCAAAGATCTTTCATGGTAATCCCTGCTGCAAAATCAGTTCTTGTAACATTCTAAGCCAGGCATTCATTAATTAATGTAGAAAATCTGCATTCTGTGTGCAGCAGAAGTAGTATCAGTCTAAAACCAAACAGTAAAACCAAATTGCCTTTTTCTAAGGATCCTGAAAGACCATTTCTGGAAGTATGATTCTTCTGAACAACTGAGACATTTCAGCAGCAAGCTCAAATGGAAACTGCTCTGTCCAGCTTAAGAGAAGAGTTTATTAGAAAAAAAGTGAAATACATCAGGAATGGGAACCTCAACTGATGATAAAATTAGGCAAATTAGTTCTTTGTCTAAAAGTGGGTGATTGTAATAATGGACACACCATTTCTCAAACAAAAAAAAAACCTGTGACACAACCACTGACACCTCATTCACAGCTTAAGAACAAGACAAATTTAGAAGGTCACACACCAAGAGTACTGCAAGTTCTTAAGTCCCCACAAGCTTTCCCTGGATAACTGGTTGCAAGATGGATGGAAGAGTGTTCAATAGTGATGGGGGTATTCATTGAATGGGATTGTGAAACATTAATAGTTCCCTGTAGAGAGTCAGCACAGTGTACCCAATTGCTTCCCCTTCCCCAGTAGGTTGATCTATTGTTTCTTATCCTTACTCTTCAGAGAGAACTCAAGCACAAATTCGCTGCTGTTGGAGGGAAAGTTGTGCTTCCAGCTGACGTAAGCATAGTTACTGTTGGGCTCAACCGTCAGATTCCAGATCTGTCTTCCAGGTGGAGCTACACAGAACAAGTTAGAGGAAAGGTGATAAAAAAAAAAAAACTAACAAAGGTATAAATTACAAGAAATCTTTAAACCTTCTAGTTAAACAAGTAAAAATGACAATATGTGCCACAAAACACCCAGTGGCACAAACATAAATATTAAAATTTCAAGGATCTGACAATATTTTGCTCTCCTAAAAAATGGTATTTTCTACATTTTATTGTAATAAAATGTAGTCAAGTGGATAGTAATCGGGGCGGCTTTTACAGGTAAATACTGTAACAATAAAACTCATTGACCCAGGAATCTGCTCTGTGAAAACTACAATGAACAGCTAAAATGTTTAACTATTCAGTATTTCAAACAAGCCACTGAAGACAGTTCTTCTAATAATGGAATCAACCTTGCTTTCCATAAATATCTGTTTTATTGGTGTAAACACACACACACACACACACACACACACACACACACACACACACACAATTCAGTATAACTTGGTGCAGATACAGTCTAGTTGTATGAGTAGTGATTCAAGAAATAATCAAAAGTCAATTTTAAGTAAATACTAATATTAAGCCACAAAAAATCAGACCTATACAGTCGTATTCCAAGTTACTGTTCTCAAATTTTGAAAATACGGTCATAAATGGTCTGCACAGAAAAAGAACACAGACACCAACTTAAAACACGGCTGTTTGGCCTGAACATTTGTATAGCCACGGGTCCCTCAAGTTTTATATCAGTGCCAAAACCTTTTGAATATGGTTCTCCATGGTTATCCTACTGTTTTGTTGCTCTCAGCTGCATACGGCAAGGCATACTTAATATTTCAGTAAAAGCATAGATAATATAGATAAAAAATATCATCCAGGCAAGTAAATATAAGTTCAAATATTTAAATGTAGATATGTATATGACTGAGCCAGGCTGACAAAATGAGCACTATAGTATAGTGTACCAGCTTAGTAATATAGAGAATTGATTTGTGAGAGCAAACCATTGCATGCCAAAAGTTGTTTGGATGTTGTTAACTCTTTTTCATAAAACTGATGGATATTAAAAAGCCATTAGTCATTCTTCTCAGGATTGAAGAGGCCAGCAGTCAATTGAGTAATAAGTAATGCAGGGAGACAGTGTTTATGTACCCAGTACGGCCAGGTCCGTGCTTTTGGTTGAGGAAAAAGCAGTGGGAATTGTTGTGGCAGAGGTGGTAGTGGTGGTAGTGATGATTGTCGTGGTTGTGGTACTAGTAGTTGTAGTTGTAATGGAGAGGGTAGGGGCAATTGCAGACACCATAACATCTGTGGGTGCAACTACAAGGGAGGGAAAAAGTACAAGTTAAGAAGAAGGACACAAAGGAATATAGAGACACGAAATGGCTGCAGTTCACCTCATAATGGCTTTGGCTACATGGAATTCCCAATTGAATTGTGTTAAAATGTACATATTTCTTCTGCCATAATTTAATTTTTGCTTAGTAAATAATAAAAATTGTTTCTAGGTTGTTTATAAAACTTTTCACAAAATAAAATGATGCATTTTACTGTAGTATCATCGTCATCTTGTAGCTAAGTGCCTTTTCTAAAACACTAATTAATCTCATCAAACAATTAAAACATTAATCTCATCAAATCCTATACATCCAAAATCTTCCATATAATCAAATCTTAAATTACTGGTAGTATTGGGAAATCCACTTATCCCTATATCTGATGGTATATACAAATCTGTTAGAGAATCTGCAATCTGGACTTGTATAGCACCACATTTTTCATCCAGGATCTTGATGATTGCATTACTGATAGAACTCTGCACCCCTAAATGCCTCCCACATGCAAAAGGAGTCCCTTCCACTGCATGCTGCCGTTTGTCCTGAATGAGTCAGAAGTGTGAAAGAGGAGGTCCTGGAAAGCTCAATGATGTAAAAACGTATATTGAAAACTATAATCCATGGTTGTTGAGTCAACATGATGATGCATTTAGCATGCTTAAAGCCAATGAAAAGTTTCTCAAAAATGACTCTTTCCAGAGCTCACTTACACACACGGCACCATGTACCTTGGTGATATACGTACAGTAGGGTGGTCCACTGTTACATAGTAAAATTTCATGTTGCTTATACTGAATCAGACACATGATGCCCTTATTACAATTGACAATGTAAGTAAACACTGAAAATTTGAAGACAATCGGATATTTAGAGGTCACTCCAAATGTCAGCTTTTGCAAGCAATTACCAGCCACACTGAAACAACATGTAATGCGTCCTATTGTATTATTGCACTATGCAGGCTACCAAGCACACATACAGTACATTATACTGTACATTGCATCAGCAGCTGCAGCACACACTAGCCACTCACAGCCAGTCTATTTATAGCAACGCTGTCACTCTGCCAGCTCTGTCGCGTGCATAACAGCTATCTCATTATGTGTAACCCACGGAGTAATTGTTCTGTTTGGCTGATTGGTCATCCTGAAGAAACAATCACTGGTTGTCGACTACCCTCTAAGGGACAAGTGTTGCGGCATTTCTTTCATCATCATACGATTCTCCAGAAAACCAAGGCTGACAGTGCATCTGCAGTTATTGAAGCTGTTATTTCTTTCTGGACTGCAGCACACGTTCCGACCTCTACTGTCTGCTATTATAAGACAAAGTTACTTGCGCTTGTGGAGCAGTACAAAAAGGTGAAGAAAAATCAATTAAAGGATTAAATCAATTAAAGCAATCTCTCTTGTGATAAAATTCAACTTGACCCTAAGAAAGGATGAGAAACAGAAGCAGTATATCCTGACTGTTGTGCGACAGCATCAGAAGGATATGCCTTGCTGTTCAAAGGACGCTTTAACTGAATAATATTTATGTGGGATACTGAACGCAGTTGTTTCTGGTACACATTACTACAGTATAATGTTTAATTTCTGTTGTATCAGTAACAAAAAAATGTTTTGAATCATCAAAATGAAATATCCATAGTGCAAAAAGGCACAAACTGGAGTGACCCCTCAATAATAAGCTAGAAGCCTGAAACTTTGCAGTTTTATTTTGTTTCTGAAGTGGAAATAGGGCAACATGTGTCTAACCTGGTAATTTTAAATTGGCATTTTTGGACCACCCTAACGTACAGTGACCTGAAAACAGGCAATGTGGGCAGTATATACTGCACATCCTAGAGATAACAGCAAGCTTACAATTGACTTGCTTTGCATGATAGGACAAAGGCTCAAAGTACAAAGTGGAAGAAGAAATATAAAAATTGCACTAAGGAGTGCTAACGAGGTGTATTCCGTGCAGTGCGGAGTGGCTGCATTCAGTATGCTTTGCATGTTGCTGTCTATGTGTCATAACAATCCGTCCACATGAACTGAGGTTGACAATCAGTGAAGGTTTATAATACATGTATCAATTAATAGCACATTATGCAAACTCATAAGCTATCCTTCACAGAAAAACATAATTTCTTGGTGGAGATGTCCACTGACATTTCACCAGGAGGTAGATGCAAAGAGAAGAAGCATGCCCCCCTACCCCCACCATCATAGCAAATAAAGTAAGCTGAGGTAGTCATAGCTTCAGTAGCATCAGTATTAAAGGTACCCTGCTGATGAAAGCCTACAGCTGGACTTTCTTAGTGGGAAGCTTGTGTTACATGTCAGATATTTTCCCTCAAGCAGGCCATGCAAACCAGATAACAGAGAGGGCTTATTAACAGGCTGGGGAAAGCCAAGCAAATGAGCAGAGCGATCGACATGCACGTCAGGAGATGGAAAAACGGACAAGGGATAGGAAGTAAAGAGGATACAAGTCTGTAAGTGCCATCAGGGACAGTGGAGTACAAAGAGCTATAAATCAGAAACTGGTACAGGAAACAAAGAATGTGGGCCCTGACACTGAAATGACCTATCAATTAAAAACACAACCAGGATTTAGACTTGTGCAAAATGGACTTAGAAAAGTAAGAGAGTGTGATGTAAGAACCCTTTCTCTTTTTATTTTATTTTTTTACAAATACTGGCTAGTCTAGTTTAATTGTCTGTTGGGCTAATTCAAAACACTTAAGAACCATTACAGTACATATACATATACTAAAAATGAGTGCATCGTGTTATATGGGCTTTTATGGCAATATTAAGTGCTGCAATATGATTAATGTATAACATAGACATACCAGTATAAAAATAAAACTGTACAGTAGTATCTAATGCCATTTTGTTGAAGATTTTTTGAATCCCTGAGGGCACAATTGAGACATACATATAGATGGGTATATGAACGGAGTTCCAGTAACGTCCTGTTTGGACAAGCAGTATCAAGCCTTGTTCTGATAATTCCCCTTACTACAGTGCAATGTCAGGATAGGACTGAGTCTCATCAGCCTTTGATAAGACTCTGTAGAAAATAAGTGAGACCTAGGTCTATTTTCTCCAAAGTCTTAATTCAAGTCTATTATATAAAGTCTATTATCTTAAAGTCTTTTACATAAATATTTATGTTCGGCTAAATTAAATTACTTTCCTGTGTTATGTGATTGCAATGATTTGATTTTTTTTTATTGAAATGAATTAAATTGTTTCTCCTGCAAGTACCAAATCAAAATCCTTCAAGGTGTGGCCAATTCAATTCAAATTCCAAATCATGAATGGAATGGAGCACAATTAATAGATTCTGAATTTTGCACAGCCCTGGAAAATGCAGATACCCAGTATCTTAAATTCAGTCAGTGAAAACAAAAAACCACACCTGAAATTAACTTGCTCTGTGGGGAAAAGAAGACTGCATGCTATTCGGAAATAATTTCTTTCTTTCTTTTTTAAAATTGATATATTCATTATCAATCAAATATCTCATTGTTCACTCAGACAGATTTGTTTTTCAAGAGAGTATGTCTGACTGTACCATTGCACTCAGTTAGGGGTAGTAAAAACATCAGAAATGAGGCATCTGTGTGGGATGAACATCTTTCCCTTGTTAAAGGACAAACAGATGTACCGACTGCCTGGTTCGCATTGCCTATTTCTAAGAGGACAGTACCTGTGTTGTCAATGTTTTCTGTCAAAACTATGAGATAGAGGACAGGGGAGACAAAAGACAGGTAAATTCAGAAAAAGATACCAGAGGGGCTGTAATTATAAGAGAAAGTATTATAATGGATGAAAGAAGAAAACACATGAAACCTTGTAAGACACAAATGCAGGAATTATCCATAGAGGAATAGCCTATTCATGATTTTGTTCTCCTAGTTCTCCCAATTCAGGATGCAACATCATCATAAAATTATTTGTTAAGGCTGGTGATGTGACAAATAAGCTAACAACATAGCTTTGTATACTTTTTATTTAGCTTTCCAAAGTAGTAAGTTTGGTTTTTCGAGACAAGTGTTCATATAAAATATACAGCGGTGTTGTCAAATTTTAAATTGTCTTAACTTTTTTGATTTACAGAATGCAAATTCTGATTGTATAAATCTCTTTCAACATACATAGACGGGCTGGAATCAAACCAAGTTGTGAAACCACAATTGTATGCACTGAGACACTGTGCCAATTGAAATAAACAAATAATTCTAATATTTATTAAATAGTTATTTTAATATCCTGTTACTTTAATAAATTCAATGATATATGTGAATTAAAACAAAGTTAAATTGTGGAATAAAGTACATTAATGTATTTCATAATTTTTTTAAATGGTATTTTGTGTTAATTTAATATATCTTATGCAAATGATTTTCTGTAATATAAATTAAAAAAAGACTGCAGATTTAAACCAGCTATACTAAAATCCTTAATGCAGTCTTATTTGTACAAATTCTGATTTGCTAATAAAAATGTAAACAATAACAAATTTCTTAAAAGGATGATTTAATTATTGTTGACTTAATGGCCAGTCCTATAGCTGCAAAATGAAACTGCACAGGCAGACTAGGGCTGGGCGATATGACAATTTTATTGATAATCAATGATATCATGCAAATAATCCCGTGTTAGTACCTGATTGTGACTAACCAGCGATTATTGCCATTGTCACTGAAATAGTTTTAGCCTACACACAAAGCAAGAAAACAAAGATTTAGGATTTGGCTTTCAGTTCAGCCTTCTAGTCTACAGTATGTTTCCAATGCAGATGGAAAAAAACACACACACATACCGGTAAATTGGTATAATTTTTTAGCTTTTTGCAGGGTATACAAAGGTATTAGTGTATGTAAACATGATGGTGGTGATATGAGGCTAGGAATACATTAGATGATTTTAGATGGTCTGTGACAGGTTATTCAGTCATAATTAAATCAGGCTTCCTGATCAATGGTTTTCCAAAGACAAAAACAATGATCAGCACCCCCCCCCCTCCAAGTCATGTTTTCTGCTTTTCCTGCTTTCATGTTATTCTTTCACCTGAAAAAATTCAACGCCTCGCTTGGTGTGTATGTGGGTGTTGGAGAACTTGATATTATTCCCTATTATCCTAACATTTTTTCATTAAAGAATTAAAATTAGGCAGACTATTTGTTGCTTAAACTTAAGCTTAAAGGCACCAACAACCATTTTCTCCTGCTGATGTTCACTGACAACTGTTAGGTGTAATGTAATTTCAAACTTCTGGTCTCGTGTGTGGTGTAGTGCATCTTGCACTTAAGACAAGGGTACTGACCAGCTGAAGCAAGTTACATTTGAAAGATGCTTACATATAATGGTGTTGGTGCGTTGACTTCTAGAGGTTGATCTTACCCTCATTGGTGAAATTTGGAGACTTCTCTGCATACATCTCTCCAGCCCCCACCTGTGTGCGTGCAGCCAGGAAAAACTTGTAGTGGATACTGCGGTTGGGCCGCCGAAGTGAGAATGTTGTCACATTAGGAGGAAAGCTTTCCATTTGCATGCGGCCTAGATGTGTCCCATTGACTGTGGAAAAATGACATATTTCAAGTTGTGCTAGTTGAGGCAGATCCATCCATATTCCACTCCCTCTTGGCCTATGCAGGGTTGCAGGGTTCCAGAGCCTACCCCAAAAGCTACATAAGCAAAGGCAGGGAATAACCCAGGATAGCGAGAAACAGAAGAAAGCCATAAAAAAAAACACGAAGAACATGCAGACCCCAGACACATACAGTCGAGCTGGCACAGAGACTCAAACCTTGCTCTCCAACAGTGTGAGACAACCATGCTAGCCACTGAGCTACTGTGTCACATGGGTGAGAGAGATAGGAAATGCTGTGAGAAATATGAAACGATGCCTCCTTGTCATTCGCATATTATCAAAGAGTCATGCAAATATCTGGATATACTGCTGTAGGGTTAGGGTTAGCACATCATCATGTATCAGAAAGAATAAACTGCAAAATGCATGTATAATAATTAAATTAGTGGAGAAAAAATGATGATACCTGTCTGGTACTTAAGTATATATCCAATAAGCACACCGTTGGGCTCTACAGGCTTGTCCCAGTCAAGGTAGATCGTATCTGTACTCCTCTGAATGATCCTGAAGAACTTAGGAAGACCAGGCACTGCAAGGCAAAGACACCAAAGCCTAAATGAGCAGTATGACACATTTCACACTGTTCATGAAACATTCTCATCTGCTTTCAAGCTTTAAAGATTATATACAAAATGCTAAATGAAATAGTAACATGTGGAAACAAATGTGATCATCACTGTGAAATTCATTTTAAACTAGGGGTGTAAAGATGATGTTGATGCATCATGATGAATCAGTTATTAAGGTGGCAATTAAACTACATCAATCTGTAAAGTCAGAGTCCATTATATTTTTTTTAAGTGGACAAAATCCCCCTTAAAGGTACTTCAGCTTCTGGGTTATGCACTCTTATGCTCATGTTCTCATGCTGCAAGTAGGCACACAAAGCAGCAGCACCAGCATGGAAATCTCAAAAATGTAGGATGGCAGGGGAAGGTTCGTTAATATCCATAAAGGAAGCACTCCCTGATTGATCAGTGATGATCTTTGCTCTAAAACACTTTTAGGAAGCTTGGTCTTGTTTTGTAGCATAGAACATTAATTCTAATGGTTCATAAGCTACAAAGGTTTTTGGAAATACCCCTTATTTGTAGCACAAAAATTTGTTCTTTTTATTAGCTAAGGTAGCAATAGTCAAGACTCTGAAGTAGCTATCTAGCTAGCTAATTATAAAGTAATCTTAGCCTTGGAGATGAACAACATATAAGTTAACATATTGATCATATTAATTTCATAAACTGACAAAAAAGTTCTTGACATTTTTGATTTTGATTAAATTTGCCTTGTGATTTGCACATATATTTCAGAGCTCAGGAATATTTTAAATATTTAAATATTTAAAAATCCCATTGTGATATAGTACATTTTTTACACCCCAGGTAGCAAATGATCATGTGGGGTACTTTCTTATGAACTGTAATTTTCTTATTATTAGAGTTACAAGGCTAAGCTATAGCTCAAGTTTTGCTATAGTTCAACATTTGCTAAACTTGGATAAACTTGTTTTTTTTAAGGTCAAAGTTCATCTTGCAAACTGCATTTTTTAAAACTATGTCTGGTTATGGAAAAAACAGTGAAGGCTTTGGAGTAGCAAGAGAGTTTAGTGTTCTACTTGTATAAGACTTTTTGTATAAAACATTGACCTTTAGTTACATGGTGCCCTTCATGAGATAAGCACCTCAAAAGTGTAGAAGGTTATTATTGTTAAATTTTTAATGCTGTTTTTGATCCTCAACAAAGGCATGTGGGGAAGGGGCATTTTTTTCCACTTAATTGGGAACTTGGCAAGTTTCACTGCTGGCAACCTCCCAACCCCATGTGTTATTGTTATTGACAATATTACACAAAAATATTGGTATCAGTCAAATTTTCCACATCAAAGCAGCACTAGTTGGTTTAGGTAAAAGCAGCCAATCAGGTACTGCTTCCTTTATGTGTATATTTTTCTATACAGTTCAATAGTTGGCTGTTTTGACAGTTTACACTGGCTTGTTCTCCCTGTTTAACAATAATAAAAAATTATTTTCTGAGATGCTACTTTCTTTGGATACCATCAACCCTCTGGGGTTGATGGCATCTTCGGCGATGCCGCGTATCTTTCTCATGTATTTCAGTTCATAACTCGCTGAAATCTTATTGTAGAAACATGAAAAAACATTGACTAAATATGTAATCTGTCTTCTTTTCAAAACATCCATTGTTGGAAGTGTTAAAGTTTTTGAAATCAGGTGAAATAGGCAAAAAAGTAAACCATCAGGTTTAGGGTTAGCACATCGGGGGCGTGTAGTATCGCTCACACATGAAAATCGCTATTCACATTCTAAATAGCCGCATTACCGTGTATTCAAATCGCATTCGCATGGTAATTTGGTGAACAATGCAACGGTGAAACGCGATCCAGACACATCCCCATCAGTGCCATAAAAGAGGGTGGGGGGGATGTGGCCAGGTGTGAATGGCTCATGCATACACGAGAGCTTCTACATATTCAATGGCAGGAGACCATAAATAGTGACATGAGTTAACTTTTTCTTATTTATTTATCAAACTGAAGGTACCAACAACACCATTTAGTCATCTTCATGTAGCCAAGACTTTGGGATGAGATATCTGGGACCAAAACAAACTTCCACCATTGCTTACTATGTACTTTTATAATGTTTCTGCAAGTATTCCAAATAGCATTTTGCAATGTTTATACTTTGATGTCAAATTACAAACTTCACATAAATCTCACATATTTAGAAAGTACACTAAGATTAAGATGAGTTTAATGCCAAAACAAATATATAACAAATAATTTAATTGCCATGAATTATGATATTCAATGAAATGTGTGACCATGCCCCAGTCAGTGAAAGTGTGTTCCCTACCTCTAGACCCCAGAGGGTTAATACTGTTCCCATTGGTTATATATTTATATTTAATTTGAATTGTGTAATCTGAATATGAAATGTTTGAATTGTGTTGAGGCCAATGAATTTAGATGCCCCTAGATTAAACCCAATCCACCATACCCTCATACCTCCTTCTTTTGTTGCGAATTCAGCGGTGTTGCTGTGTGGCCCCTCATACTGGCCATTGGCCACAACCATATACATCTTGTAGTTGCTGTAGGGCACAAGCCCTGTCAGGATACCCGAGGGTTGTGGGCTGCTGTTTTTGAAGCCCTTGGTCTTCTTCTCCTTGGTCACATGCAGGCCTTTCAGAATGCTACTCTCCCTCCAGTAGTACACCTGAATAGAAGCAACTTTATCAGTGTTTCCTTACCCCTCAGAACAGGGATGACATAATCCATGCTGCTCTCCCCATAACTCTATGCGGCATCAGGATGTAGAGCAGCATTTAGAATACAGTACATTAACTGGTCATCGGTGGACTAATTAAAATTGAATTCTTTCAGTGTTTTTGTCCATGGTGGAAACTCTTACCAAATTATTTTTTTTACCCTTTTTCAGAAGAGAGATTTTATTACAGAGTAAACATTTATTACAAAAAATGGATTTCAACTACTATTGTTCTATGAGTTTTTATTGATTGAAACTAAGATCAAGAAGCCACACATGCTAATTATCTCACAAGGTTAAGGACTCCAGTATGTGGCTGGTATCAGGCCTGCAATGGCAGCTTACTGTTGGGCCATTGAGAAAAAGGTCATTTTAAGTGGCTTATACACATATATATGTGTGTGTGTGTGTATTTGTATAAAAATGAAACTGCATTAAAGATTAAGTCTGAATAATTATACTTAAAAATGCATTATGTTCATGCAATGAAACACAGACATAAATTAAAAATTCAGACTGTTTCAAATGGGGACTCACCCTATATTCCTTTAATGCACCCATGATGGTGTTGGGAGCTACAGGAGACCAGTGCAAAGTCACTGTCGTGCTGTCAATCCCAGATACACGTAGATTGGCGGGGGGTGCAATGGGACCTAGAAGAAGCAATACTTATACTGTTGTGGTACGCATGGTCATTAATCCTCCTCTAAACAGAGCAACATGTAGCTGTGACAGCCGGGAGACAGGGTCAAGACTTTGGAGCAGTACTGAAACAGCTAAGATGCAATTAAGGGTGTTTTCATGCCAGCACCTTTCAGTCCATTTAAAATAGACACTGGTTCGATTTCCCCCTTGGTGTGATTCTTTTGGGCAGCTGTAAACACAGTAATTGCACTTAGGTGCAGACCAAAACAACTGTACGGAGACCATTAAGAGGAGGTGGTTTCGGTTGGTTCCCAAACGAACTCTGGAGCAGTTTGTTTGTGGTGCAAACGTGATCCGACCTAGCAACCCAACTTCCAGGTGTACTCCACAAGTTTGAGCTAAATGGCTCCCATAGCCAAGTGTGCTCTGCATGGAGGTATCAGTACATAAATATGAGAGATGTTCAACTGCATAGTCCAGGATACAGGACCTTCTTCCTGTATTTACTTTCTTGCTTCTGGAACAGACATATCTGACCAGTAAGCAAAATGAACATTTGTATGTGGTTTGTAGTGATGCATTGTTGTTTTGCTTGGGGTTTGGTAATAAAACATTGGTGTAAACCAACTGTTTTAAAAATACTGTAATAATAATAATAATGATAAAATAAAAGGCTTTATGTTTTGTGTCTGAGTATGTTTATTGTCTGCTTATAAGGTCTGAGCAATGTGACATACAGCTTCAGAAGTTGAGCATGATGTGGTCATTGTGGAAGTGGTCATTGTGGTCCTCACTTGTGACAGACATATTAATATACATATGAGATTGTGTAGCTATGTGTGACAGAAAACAATAAAACTCACGGTCCTCCCCTGAGTAGCCAGTGACCACGCTGGACTCTGGACCAAGCCCAAAGTCGTTGATTGCCTGGACCTTGATTTCATAGGGTACGTAAGTGCTGGTGTTGTGGATGACATGCTTGGACAATTTGGTGGTAGCATTTCTCCAGGTCTCTGGCACATCTTTACGACGCCATGACACCAGATATTGCAGGTTAGGTCCATTCCTCTCCATGTCTAGCAGAGGCTATGAAGAGATAAATGCCAGGCCAGCCCAACAAAGAATACTTTGTCACTCACTGCTAACTATGATCCTTTTGAAACTGTTACAAAAAAAGAAAATAGAGTTTACAAGCACCTTAACCTTATCATCGCTAGGCAGATGTAAATAATATTACCATAATAAAATAACAAAAATGTTAAATTTGTGGAATATAAGACTAAAGGAGTTACATAATTTTGTTTCGGAATTATATGTTGTAAGATTAATCCTATTACAATTTAGGATAGTAAAATCATCCACAGTTTAATTATTGATGTCTTACCTCCCAGCTGATCTCCATGTTTGTTTTTTTTGTGCCCACTCCTTGGAGCTCACCAGGGATGGCATCTGGTGCTACAACAATCAAAACATGCTCGTGTGATTTTCTTGGAAGCAACTTGCATACACACACACCCCATATACAGTGCTTAATTCAGTAAAAATGTTGCATATTCATGGGTTTCATAGCAAAAGTCGATTGACAAGCAATGTTTAACATATCTGCATGTCTTCCACATCGACATTTTCTGTTTATTAAGTGTTATAGTTTTTTGACTGTTGACTGCAATTGTAGTCATTAGCTCTCAAAGGGATATTAAAAGTGTTTAGTGTTTTTTCTTAGTGTAAAGGTGTTACCAATTAAAAATCACTCAATGAGTCTGCTTGTCAATTAACTTTTTAACTCAGAACAGCTCTTTTAGAACTATAATTTGGGATTCAATTCAGTGCTCTTTGAAATTAATGTTTTACTTAAAACCACTAGTTGTTTATGTGATTTATTTTTGTAAAAAAATGAATAAAGTAATGATTTTTGTTTTAAAACCAATATAGTTGCAATATTTTTTCCTAAATTAAGCAAGCCTCACAAGACTTTCTTTGAGCACAGTAAGAACATAAGAACATAAGAACTATACAAACGAGAGGAGGCCATTTGGCCCATCGAGCTCGCTTGGGGAGAACTTAACTAATAGCTCAGAGTTGTTAAAATCTTATCTAGCTCTGATTTAAAGGAACCCAAGGATTCAACTTGCACTACGTTATCAGGAAGACTATTCCATACTCTGACTACACGCTGTGTAAAGAAGTGCTTCCTTAAATCCAGTTTGAAATGTTCTCCCGCTAATTTCCACCTATGGCCACGAGTTCTTGTATTTGAACTAATGCTGAAGTAACTATTCAGTTGAACAGCATCCAAACCTGTTAGACTCTTATAGACCTGGATCATGTCCCCCCTCAGTCTCCTTTGCTTGAGGCTGAACAGATTTAGCTCAACTAACCTTTCCTCGTATGACATTCCAGGAATCATTCTTGTGGCCCTACGCTGCACCTTTTCTAAGGACGCAATGTCCTTTTTAAGTGGTGACCAAACCTGCACACAATATTCTAGGTGAGGTCTCACCAAGGAATTGTATACCTCCCTTGACTTAAACTCCACACACCTGGGGATATACCCCAAAATCCTATTGGCCTTTTTTATAGTAGCTTCCCCGCACTAAAACACTTATGTGTATATGTTTGAAATAAAGTTCACCCACAGTTTTCACTAAACTCCCCTTTTCCCAATCTTGTTCCCAGGTGGCTAACATACGTGCTCCACTGGTCTGGTAGCGTGGAGATGGGCGGCTCGGCTGGCTGGAGCCAATGGCATTGATGGCAATAACCCGGAACTGGTAGTTGACAAAGGCCGACAGGTGCAATATGGCAGAGTTGAGGTCACCAGGGCAACTTGACAAATTCTGCCATTTTCCAGGTTGCCAGCGGCCCTCCTCAAACTGGATGAGGAACTCTGGAGAAGTGTTGGAGGATGTGGGGTGAAAAAGACAAAAAAAAAGTAAATAAAGGAGTATTGCTATCACTAGCACTGTCACTAGAAGAATAAAGGCAGGCTTTCATAATTTGTTAAAGATATGTTTAGGGGTTGGAGGAAAAACAGCATTGAGTTTAATTGAGAAGGGAAGGTCTTACCTGTAATGGGACTGTTGTTATCATTTCCATGGATCCAGGTGAGTCGGACACTTCGCTCTGAAGGGTCTGATAGTTCTAGGTCCTTAGGGGGATCTGGGCGGTCTGTAAGGATTTAAACTTTTATTCCATATGGTCATTCACAGCTGATCAAAGTATTAGAAGATGATATGAGATAAGATGGGACTTTGTCATTGTATGTTTACAACAAAATTGTCTGTGGCAACATGCAGATAGAAATCAGTAGGTACTAAGATGAATTTACTTAAAACAAAATGCATTCATGATAATGTACAACCTAAAAGTATTCAAAGGCCAGCAATTAAAAATAGTACAGTCTGAAGACATTGCACAATCAAAGTGAATTTGATTAAAGTACTGTTGCTACATTAATACAATGCTGTGTATTGTCTCTATAGTACTCCATAATAATATGATAATAATAAAATGAAATATAATAATAATAAAAGTATCCAACTGCATTATGTAGTAAGGGATGCATGGAGAATGCTGAATGGAATATATTTCCTTCCAAAATAACTATGAGGGAGATGGAAACGACGGCTCTGTGGAAATAGCTTTTCTTCAGTCTTAGTGTGAGCTTTGATAGCTCTACATCTCTATCCTGATGGCAAGGTGACAAGTAGACTGTATCCAGGGTGTGTTGGGTCTTTGCTGATGTTAGTAGCCTTCTTGCACAGGTAGCTAACATATACCGTGTTCAAATTCGGAAGCATAGCTCCTATGATTCTCTGACCAGTTCTTGTCACATTAGGCCAGGTCTTTTCTGTTTTAGAAGGTGCAGCTGGCATACCACACCATGGCACAGTGGAAGAGGGTGATCTCTATGGTGCTGTGATAAAAGTTTTCCAGGAGCTGAGGGGGAAATTTGGCTTATTTGAGTTTGCTTAAGAAGAGCCTCTGGTGAGCTTTCTTCACCAGATGGGAAGTGTTAAGGGACCACAATAGGTGAATACTGTGAAATCCCAGGAGTCTGAATATGTTGATCCTTTCCACGTCTTCATATGGAGGGGGGAATGGGTGGTCTTTTTGGATCACCTGAAGTTCACAATGATTGCTTTGATGTTAGTGGTATTCAGGACCAGATAGTTGTCTGTATATCACTCAACCTGATGTTCGTCCTCCTCCCTGTAGTATGTCTCCATGTTGTTAGATATGAGTCCCACTATATTGCTGTCATCAGCAAACTTCATTACAATGTTAGAGGAGTGGGTAGGGGTGCAATCATGGGTGAATACAGTGAAGAGGGCTGGACTGAGCACATAACCTTGTGGCGTGCCTGTGTTTAGTATGAGGATTCAAGAGGTATGATTTCTTATTTTGACATGTTGTGATCTGTTGGTGAGGAAATCTAGGATCCATGAGTAGGGCTGAGTACTGTACTTCGGTACTTTTGTGGTATCGACCAAAATGCTGAGATTCTACCAAGGACTGAAAAACTAATTCTTTTTCAGTATGCCACATTCTGATACCCAAACAGTAAATCTCTCTGTCTGTGAGCTAATAATCATGCAGCAAATTGTGTAAAGATCTAAAGTCATTGATAATTGGTTGTCTAAAGTAACGTTATAGGAACACGTCATTTTGCGACCATTTTTGGAGACAGTACGACTAAATTTTATAACTAGACACAAAATGGCCCCTCATTTATGCCCAAATATACCCCCATATAGTGGCTGAACCCATTGTCATATATTACATGAAACACCTGGAGCGAGCAAGAATTGGTGTGTATGTACACTCACCTAAAGGATTATTAGGAACACCTGTTCAATTTCTCATTAATGCAATTATCTAATCAACCAATCACATGGCAGTTGCTTCAATGTGTTTAGGGGTGTGGTCCTGGTCAAGACAATCTCCTGAACTCCAAACTGAATGTCAGAATGGGAAAGAAAGGTGATTTAAGCAATTTTGAGCGTGGAATGGTTGTTGGTGCCAGACGGGCCGGTCTGAGTATTTCACAATCTGCTCAGTTACTGGGATTTTCACGCACAACCATTTCTAGGGTTTACAAAGAATGGTGTGCAAAGGGAAAAACATCCAGTATGCGGCAGTCCTGTGGGCGAAAATGCCTTGTTGATGCTAGAGGTCAGAGGAGAATGGGCCGACTGATTCAAGCTGATAGAAGAGCAACTTTGACTGAAATAACCACTCGTTACAACCGAGGTATGCAGCAAAGCATTTGTGAAGCCACAACACGCACAACCTTGAGGCGGATGGGCTACAACAGCAGAAGACCCCACCGGGTACCACTCATCTCCACTACAAATAGGAAAAAGAGGCTACAATTTGCACGAGCTCACCAAAATTGGACAGTTGAAGACTGGAAAAATGTTGCCTGGTCTGATGAGTCTCGATTTCTGTTGAGACATTCAAATGGTAGAGTCAGAATTTGGCGTAAACAGAATGAGAACATGGATCCATCATGCCTTGTTACCACTGTGCAGGCTGGTGGTGGTGGTGTAATGGTGTGGGGGATGTTTTCTTGGCTCACTTTAGGCCCCTTAGTGCCAATTGGGCATCGTTTAAATGCCACGGCCTACCTGAGCATTGTTTCTGACCATGTCCATCCCTTTATGACCACCATGTACCCATCCTCTGATGGCTACTTCCAGCAGGATAATGCACCATGTCACAAAGCTCGAATCATTTCAAATTGGTTTCTTGAACATGACAATGAGTTCACTGTACTAAAATGGCCCCCACAGTCACCAGATCTCAACCCAATAGAGCATCTTTGGGATGTGGTGGAACGGGAGCTTCGTGCCCTGGATGTGCATCCCACAAATCTCCATCACCTGCAAGATGCTATCCTATCAATATGGGCCAACATTTCTAAAGAATGCTTTCAGCACCTTGTTGAATCAATGCCACGTAGAATTAAGGCAGTTCTGAAGGCGAAAGGGGGTCAAACACCGTATTAGTATGGTGTTCCTAATAATCCTTTAGGTGAGTGTATTTGTGGTGTTTTCTGTATATGCAAGAGGTGAATGTATATGCAAGAGTGTATGAGCGAGATCATTGAAACTCTGTCCGATTGCAATTCCTCGGAGACACTACTGTGGAGGCGCTTACAGCAGTTACTTGCTGAATGCTTGACCACAAGCATCGGCGCTAACATGAAAGTTGCACGGAAGTGCGCGAAAAGAGACAAAGCATATGGAATTGTTTTTGCACCTCAGTAAGATTGAATACCTTTTTGGTTGCGTTTTCATATATTGCCAGTGCTGGCAGTGAAACATAGCAGCACTTATTAGTGGGATTAATGTTACATTGTTTTTTATTCTGTGGAAAATGAAAGCTTGATCTGATGGCCAGATTTAATAATGAGTTATAAACATCGGGTTGTATTAATAAAATATAAATAAAAGGCTGTGTCCCGTTATGATCATAATCAATCCTCCCAGTAATGACTGTACCAGTTTATGAGGTAATAATGTATTATAATCAGAGCTAAGGTTAATGAATATCATTCTTATGTGTTGCAATGAAGTGCAATAGAGACAGCATCCTCTGTCAATGAAAAACCCACAAAAGAGCCCACTAAGCAAACTGGTGATTGTACAGATTCATTGGGATGATGGTCTTAATGTATGCTACCATAAGTCTGTCAAAGCACTTCATGACAACTGGGGTTAAGGAAACTGAGTTGTACTCATTCAAGCACTTAACTTTTTGGGCACAGGAACGATGATCATAAATTTTAGGAAGAGATTGAAAATGCTGTTAAACACCCCTACTAACTGATTAGCACAAACTTTCAGTATGCAGTCTGAGACCCTGTCTGGTCCTGTTGCTTTGTTGGTGTCTATTTTCATCAGAGTGAATCTCACCTGGTGCTGCTGTAGGACTAATACATGCTCATGCTTTGTGTGGTGCCATTTGAGCTCCAACTGTATTGTTTTGGTAGTCAAAGCAGGCAAAGGACTGGTTAAGAGTGTCAGGTACTGCAGCATCTTCGCTGATCTGTGTGGTACTGTTCTTGTATTCTGTCATGATTTTAATACTGTTCCAAATACTGTGGGGATTGTTTTTCAAAATGCCCCTCAATGTGCTTTTTGTACCTCCATTTGGCTTCTCTGATGTCCTTCATTAGTTCTGTATGGGCACTTCTGTAGGCTAACGTGTTTCCTGTCTTGAAGGCAGCATCACATACCTTGGGGAAGATGGTGGCGCAGGAGGTAGTGCTATCGTTCGGCAATTGAGCCCTGGTTCTTTCTGACCCCATCAAAGTGTCCTTGAGCAAGACACTGAACCCCACCCCCACCAGCCTCTGCCACCGGTGTATGAATGTGAGTGTGGATGGGTGAATGTGAGGCATAAATTGTAAAGTGCTTTGAGTAATCGTAGGAGTAGAAAAGCGCTATATAAATGCAGTCCATTTACCATTTGAGCAAGTATTAGACCTTACTTTTCTGTCCAACTATGACTTCCAGTTTGAAAACACTTTGATGGTTTTGGTGGTCAGGTTGCAGAAATTTATGTAGGCTAACACAGATGAAGTGCATTCCTCCAAGTCTGGTCCTTGTCCAAACACATGCCAGTCAGTAATCTCAAAGCAGGCCGGCCGTCGTGATGTGGCTTCGTCTCTCCAGACTTGAACAGTTGTAATAGCTGGTTTTCTTCTGCAGATCAGAGGTTTGTATGCAGGGATCTTCATCATTGAGATGTGGTCCGATAGTCTGGGGTGGCTTTTTATGCCCCAGGAATATTTATGCACCCTTGGTCGAGGATGTTTCTGTCTCTGGGTGGGAAGTTATATTTTTACAGAATTTGGGCAGTACCGTCTATAGTTCTGTTTCATTTGCCACAATCACATCTCCATCTGGGTCAGCTGACTGTTAATAGCATCATACTGTTTCTTCAGGGCTAGCTTAGCATTGGTATGAGGTGGTATGTAAACAGCCGTGATTATCACATTAGTAAAGTCCCTCGGTAAAAAGTCTGTATTTCAATGACAGGTATTCTATATCTGGGGAACAATGTGTCCCAATAATGTCCAAGGCACTGCCCAATAAGTACATGCACTATGAATTATTGAGACCAATCACAACAATGACAGATGTAAGTGCAAAGAATGTTACCTGGTACAAGGGCACTACGGTTTGAAGACGGAAAGGAATCATAACCTGTGTAACAAAGGTTCAATTCAAAGGGTTAGTGTGTGTGTGTGTGTGTGTGTGTGTGCGTGTGTGTGTGTATATATGCATAAATACATACACACACGACTGATTTTAGACAGACAACACAACAGGAACCATCAACATGACACAACACAATTTGGGGTCATTAAAATCCAAGGTGTATGAAGTCAATTTACCAACAGAGTTGTCAGTGTCTTTGAAAATGATTCTGTTACACAATAGGAAAATTAATAATGACATGGTTTATTGAAAGATGTCAGTATGAAGATTTTAGTTCTATGATAATAGCTGGGAATGGAGGGTTGAGTGTAATAACTTATATGCTTATTCAACTGAATAAAATACTAAATATGCATTTTCATACATACAATTTTTTGACAAACTCAATTCACTAAAAAGTCATAAAACGAGTTCACCAGGGAAAACTTCTATCAGCTGCAAACTATTCAAATATTTCAGCATAATCATGCTGCATACATATACAACATCTATTTGTGTGATTATCTGTATGATTATCTGAGTGTTTGCACATTTATGTAGCCTCAAACGAATACAGATATACTGATACCAAGAACGGTGAGGCGAGCAGATGCGAAGTCTTCATCCAGCTCAGTTTTGGCAGTACATGAATAAGTCCCCTCATCCGAATCAAGAACATTGAAGATAGAAAGGGAGTCCTCCTCCTTCTTCAGCCTAGCACAGGAAACAAGAAAGAGAATAATCAGCAGCTAAGACTGTGGGATTTAGGAAATCAATATGCTAATAACGTTCTTTTGATAGTTCCCAAGATTAAGGGCAAAATTATCTAACTTTTTAAATCAGGATACAGAAGTACTCACTTAGTGGAATGATTTAACTCCACTCAAACTATAAGCTAATTGAACACTGTTCTATGTTATGTACATAATTAGTTGGTGTGCATAGGTTTTGTTAAACAGCCTCTGTTTTCCCAAAATAAAACAGGGTCACTGATGATCAATGTACTATAAGTCATCACCTCCATCCAATCGTAAGGGGCTTGTCATCCTTGGCCCAGGTAACAGCAATTGGAAGGCTGACATCATACTTGACCCGACAGTCAAAGCGGGCTACACTTCCTCGGTTCACTGTCTGGTGTTCTGGGGCACGAACAATCCGTGTGGGCTCTAAAATGGATCGAAGATCCAATATACTCAAAAGACATACATTAAAGCATTTATATTACATATATGCAAATTTTACATACTTTGTATCTAAAACAGTGGTATCAGATAATATCTGAGCATCTCTCCATGAGACATACCTTTGACCTCCAGCCGAACCTGGTTTTCTGCCTTTCCAAGGATGTTACTGGCTACACAGGTATACGTACCCTGGTCTTCAACCCGGGCACGACTTATCTCTAAGGTGCCATTCAGATAGGCTTTGTAATGCCCACCATCTAGGCCACTGCCTTGCCCATTCTTAAACCTGCATCCCACACACAAACAAATGTAGGAAATAAAGCATGCATATACAAAAGTAAATTACCGTAAGACATCATTATCAAATCTGAACGATCAGAGTGAATAAAATACCTTTGCAATATTGTGCCATTATTTCAAAATTAATCTACATATTACTCCGATGCTCTGTAGAAAATCTAGTGAATTCATTCTGGTAGTGTCTAACAAAACCCACAATATCAATCTCACCAGCGTAGTTCTGGAAGTGGTGAGCCAAAGTACGGGCAGTCCAAGAAAGTGCGGTTATTCTCAGTCACCTTGATGAGTTGGTTTTTAGGGCCAAGCATCCGTGGCGCCATATCTGTACAGATTAAGAACAAACTGAGGGGTTATGCAGACCCATTTTAATTACCGGCCCTTACATTTAATTACTCAGAATATACTCCCTTTTCCCCACATTCTTCATTACTTTAAGCATATCCTGGCCCTCAAATATTCTTCTGTCTCACCTAAAATGTTGACAAAAGCATTGACCAGCAAATAGCCGTGCACATTGGAGGCATTGCACTGGTACACTGCGCTGCTGCCGATCTGCACTGTTCGGAAGATGATAGTGTCACCCACTACTTGCCGACTTGGATTTGGCAGGGAACCTTAAAGGAGGATGAGATGTTCCATTTTTTTGTACCTTAATCACAATTAATTCATTTTAACTTTGATTATATATGATTATATGTAAAACAACCATTTCAACAAAGTCCATCATTCAAAAAGGGACCCTCTGCAGTATTTTACATGTGTGTTTTTAGATAATCTGTATTTCGACAGAACATTTTCTGAGAATTCCACAATGAGTGAACAACTAGTGAACAACTAGTGCAGTGCTATAGGTAATCCTTTCCATGACACACACTCTCAATGGCTTCTCCATTCACCAGCCACTGGATGCTGGGTTTGGGGTTGCCGTTGGCCCGGCATACCAGCCGGCCACTCTCATCTGGAGCCAGAACCAGGTTTTGTGGCTTATCCAACCAGTAGGGGGCAGCTATAAAGCAGATAACAGAAAACTGGTCAAATTAGTATTTAGACACTGTTTTGTTAGTTTACCACTGTGTATATTTATATGTCTTACTCTGAGATAACATAACAGCATCATAAAACAGGTGTAAAAACGACTGACCTTTGACCTGTACAGAGATGGAGTGACGAATGCTGCCTATCTTGTTGTTGGCCATGCAGATATACTCCCCTGAGTCCTCCTCAGATACGCTCACAATGTGCAATGTTTTGTTAAAATTCTCTAGCTTCACCTTCTGTCCAGGCAGGTCCCCACCCTTCTTAAACCATTTGATATTTGGGGTTGGGCTACAGGAAGACAGTAGAATACTTTTCTGACACAGAAAAAATGTCAGCTAAGTAAAAATAAGTCTCATAAATCCTAAATAACTTGAACCTCACCCATCATACACAGCAAAAATTTTCATATATAATTCAGAGTACCATGTGTAGGTACTTTGCAATGTTTTGTGATATAGTATACTAGTAATATTATCTGTACATATGTGTTTATGTTGTTGTGCTCAGTGAGGTATTGATGTCACACAGCAGCAGAACATAATGGCAAAAGCAGGAACTTACAATCCAGCAGCAATGCACTCCAGTAACAGTTCCTCCCCACGTAGAACCATCTTGGAGCTAGATGATCCTGTTGGAGACAAGAATGTGGGCGTAGTCTCAGCCACCCCACGGGCTAAGGACAGAACAGTAAAAAGAAACAAATCACTGGTCAGTACCAACAGAGAGGCCAAAGACATCACTCCAGACATCTCTATTTTGTAATGCTCAATCTGTGTTAATGCATTTTCTGCATAACTAATAATTGACATAGATTATATGTTCACATTTAAATATTAAACATTAAGTTGATTCAGGTGTTTTAAGGAATCTTTCTTTGACTGTCTTTAATAGGGTATTTTTTTCTTATTTTATGCTGTTGTTGAGGCTCTGGCAGAATCATCAGATGCTAGCAAGTTGCTGCTCAGATTTCAGGTTCTAATAGTTTTTTTGTCAGATTGGGTCCTGTCTACTAGTCCACAGTAGCTTGGACTGCCATCTCCAAATTCCTAGTTAGCAGGAATTCTATTTGCTGCTTTTCCCTGGTTCCTGCTTACTTGTCAGTTCCTATTTCCTGGTTCCTACCTCCTGGTCAATTTTCTCTTGGTTACAGTCTCTTATGTTCATCAATCTTCCACACTTGAGTCATCCCCTGCACATTTTGTTCGTGAGCCATTTGTACACATTTGCTTGTTTAGTGTTAGTTTTTTATTTTTATTTTTCCTCTGAGGCTGTCAAGAATTGCTCCTTGACAGGAGGGTTATGTTACCTGACCATAGACACTAACATTTGCCCACTCAAAGAATAATGAAAACTATCCCTGTAATTTTGCTTGACTTGGAAGTACTGGGTCAAGGAGTTGAACAGCAAGCCTTTCTCAGTTTTTTTGTGGGGTTTTCTTGACAACATGGATATACTTGTGAGAACCTATGTATAATATATCGGCTGGATTTCTGATACCAGTTTGCTCTTATTTTAAGTTCTGCCTCCTTAAGTCCTCTTGGTTCCTGATTCCTGGTTCTCATCTTTATTCTTCAACAATCCTATATACTTGAGGCTTCCCCTGCACATCTCAGATTCAGAGTCAAATTCAGATCCTTTATTGCCATTGTACAGAGTTCAATGAAATTTTAGCAGCAGTCCAATCTGTGCATTCACACAAACAAGTAATATGAACAATAGGATATAAAACATCACACAGAACATAATAAATACTAGCATAAACTCATTGTAGACCATAAATAGAAGAGTAAGGTGCAATAAATGCAATTACCAGTACGATTAATACAGAAAAAGTGCAGCTGGATGTAAACATTGCAGCGTTGTTTAAAGTAAGCATAGTGACAAAAACTGACATATGAAAATTATTAGACCTAGGACATCACACAAAACATGACATAATAACATATGTTAGAATAACACAATAAATTAGAATACTGCAGTAAGGTTGCTGTAGACCCCAGGTTGGCATCATAGTGGCATCAAATGATAGTGTTCATTTCATGTATGGCTCTGGGGTATAAGCTCTTCTTTAGTCTGTTTGTCTGTGAAATGATGGACCTGAACCATCTACCAGGGGGCAGCAACTCCAAATGATGTCCAGGGTGGGAAGGGTCCTTTGATATAGATATGTGTTCTAGTTTAATTCTAAATAACTAAGTTTACTGCACACTTTATAAAAACAATATGTTCAAGGAAGTTGTATCATTAATATTGTGGTTTAACTTGTATCTTGTGTTACAACCCCTGGTCATAAGAGCTTTGACTAGACTAGCCTTTCACACATTTTGAGCTTATAGCCTGTGAGGGAACTGCTGATTTGCCCACCAGAAGGATGTGCCACCTCCCTCAAGGAAAGGACTGGCTACTTCTCCAGATAAAAAAAGACCAGTCTTATTACAGTTGACTTTGTAATGTAGAGACAATATCATTGTGGCAGTTGCAATTCTAATTCTGCTTAGATTTTGTTCAGTTCTGATTAGGTGGTCTTATTCTATTTAGTTTGGTTGCATTTCTTAAACATGTGAAATGGTTCTCCAGCCAAGGCTCATATTGGTCTTCGAACTCCCTCTCTGTTTTTTGTAAACCTCAGGTCCGGATCTTGGAGTTATTTTTGAAAGAAACCACTTTTGAGAAACAGATTAACTCTGTAGTCAAGAGTAGTTTTTTGCAGCTCCATCTTTCAGCAAAGGTCAAGCCTTTTTTTATCTTCTAGAGATCTTGAGAAAGCTACTCATGTGTTTATGTTTTCTCAGCTTGATTATTACAACTCATTGTATTCTTGGATCAGTAAATCCGTGATACATGGGTTACAGTTGGTTCAGAATGCAGCTGCTTGTTTTTTGGTTGGGGCAAGAAAGTCTGATTCTGTTTCTCCAATACAGTGGTACCTCGGTTCTCGAACTTAATCCGTTCTGGACTCTGGATAGAATCCTAAAAAGTTTGAGCTCTGATCGAATTTTTCCCATAAGAAATAATGCAAAACCAATTAATTGGTTCCCGGCCCCCCAAAATGACACCTAAATATGTTATTTATTTTTTTACCATTTAAACACAAAATGAGCAGGATAAAACAAGAAGAGCATTTTTTTCTTAATGGCTTCCAAAACGATAAAGATCTTATGGTGCATTCCATTTGCCCTTGGAACTTGGATTCCGAGTTTTGAAGCCGGAAGTGACGACATGCGCGCTCCCGTTTCTCGGAGATCCGAGAAATATCTCGGATAACGCAGAGGATCCCAAGTTCAGAATCCAAGATGGCTGCGCCCTTTATCAACAGAAGGTAAAGTTGTAGTTTTATCCTGTTTAAGCACTATTTCTCATTTATGGCTCATTAAATCGGTCGCACACACTATACCGTCCAACTTTTCTGTGGACGTGTTCTTACGGAGTTTTATACGTGAAGCACCGCGCGTAATGTGTTATCAAGTGATATTGCTAACAATGGCAATTAACCGGGCTAGAATTGGATTTTATGATTAGTCAAATTATTTGTCGGATTTAAGGTAGTTCGGGCTAATTGTAAGTGAACAAAGATAAAGGCCATTTAAACTGAGGTACCTTAAATCCGACAAGTTGTCCGGCTAAGCAAAAAATCTTGCCTTTTCATATGGGTCCATGGTATTGCTACTTCTGTGGCAAATGGAATGTATCCGACTCGGTTTTCCCGAGTTTTTAGCAGATGTGACGTAATATCGGAATCCGAAAATCGGATCCCGAGGTAAATGGAATGCAGCATTATCCCATTACCCCTGTCCTGCCCCGATTGTCTGCTCCTTCCATGTGCCACGCCCCCTCGTTAGCCTCGTGTGGGATACCCATGTGATCAGCTGTTTATAGTTGTCGTTATTAGTCCTCTGTATTTAGTTCGCGTTTCAGTTTGTTTCCTCAGTCCGCTCATTGGGTGCGTTCGACTTTCTTACAGCGCTGGCTTAAAGCAACGCATTCTGATCGTGACGCAATGCATTACGGTTAGATGCATTGCGACCTCTCACCCGGCTGCACAAACTGGAACCGCCTCCGTGACAACACACCTTTGCCCTTATTGGCTGAAGAGTTTAGTTACATGCATGACGTTTGTATCCCAGGCAGTTCCGATGCGTAATCTGCTATTTCTCCCAAATATCACGTAAAGCAGTGAGAACTGGTTTTCAGTTAATTTACCTGGTGAAATAAAGTTTAAATAAATGACATAAATGCTCTAATAGTACACGTAAGTTAGTGGTTTATTTATTGTTAGTTACTGTAATATCGCGCTGCTTTATTTGGTTAATCGTCCAGTCTGTGAAGAAGGCATTCAAGTAAGAATTGCATTGTAGTATGACTCATTTCCTGGCGCGTACAATTTATATTAGGTCAGCGTTCACGGTTCGACTTCTGATATTCAGATCGAGTTCTAGTTCAAACTGGTTTGTTCGACTTTCAAGAAATTCGAGTTCTAGTGAGTTCGAGAACCGAGGTACCACTGTACTAGCTTTTTTACATTGGCTGCCTATCAGTTGTCACACTGATTTCAAAATTTTGTTGCTATTTTATAAATTATTTCATGGGTATGCTCCTGCCTGTTTATCTGAAATGTGTGTTTTACACTAACCTTTCAGAGAGATTTGATCTTCTGGTCAGTTGTCTCTTGTGGTCCCTCATATTAGGTGTAAAATTAAGGGAGACAGGGCTTTTGCAGCTGCTGTACCTCGCCTGTGGAATTATTAACTGTATTACATAAAGGAGTCACCTACAACTGAACTGTGTAAAACGAGGCTGAGGACTCATTTCTATTCTCTAGCTACCTTCAGTAGTACCTTTGATTTGTCTTTGTTTCAACTCACTGCTGGTTGTTTTGTGTTTTATTGTAATAAATTTCTATCTTATTTTTACTTCTGTTCATTTGTTTCTATTTTTCTATTTATTAAATGAGCCATTAAATTACATCTATTTTTCATTTAGCAGAAGCTGATGAGAGAATCAGACCCCAGGCCTGCGAGTGACAAGTAGGGAAACTAACCACTATACTACCAAGGATCAGCACATTATAGAATATGTGTATTAATAACATATAAGCATTAAATTTACCAGTTACAATTCACCATGTCTTTTTTTTGGAGCTGACTATCACAGCTACTACTCAGCACATTCTCAACAGTCTTTGAACTGCCTTAAGAAGTAAGTACTATAAATGTGGAAACAAGCTTAAAACATTCTGAGTGACAACACTTACAGTATTAGCAACTTTGCAAAAATAATAAGCGTGCGTTGATTATAATACAGTAGAACTGGTGACACTGAGCCCAATTCAGTTTTACTGTATAGTGCCTAAATGAGGCTGCGATTAAGTCTAATACAACACACATCTTGATAGAGAACTTTCGCCAAAAAAAAAAAAGATGCACGCAAACCTCGACTGTAACTTTATCACTATGCAACCCATAATGCGCAGTGCTTCAGTTTGGTTTGAAACTGCAAATGAAACAATAGAGGATCTCTGTGGGGAATGAAACTTCTTTTGTCACCAGTTACAAACTAAGCGAGGTTTCATCTGAAACTGCCCTTTGTACCTGACGTGTACTTCAAAGCCTCATAATATTATGTGATGCAGACTTGCTACCTTAAAACTTATATACTTGTGCATATACGTACTTGTGTATATGACCTTTGTTTTGTATTGCTTATCTTTATTTTATTTTTATGTTATTTTTGTATAAGTTGTGTCCTCTTTTTGTATCAGACAGTGAGAGTGAGTGCTTTTTGTTTTGTATCATTTTCTTCATTGTTTGATTAGAAATGGAGTTGTGCAAGTATATATTTATAAGCCACTTGTGCTTGTGGTGTTTCTTAAATTTGATCAAATTACGCAGCCTTTTTGTTTGAATCAGACAATGTGTGCTTATGCATTGTTTTTATGTTCATACTCCTAGACACAGAAGGGTTGTAACACTTTTATGAAATTAGTAAAAAATTATCATCACTGATTTGTTTCACAAAAAAATGTGCTTTCAGACTCAGAGGTACTTGGTTGACTGGTGGCTTATTGCTATGAGGCGAGTTGTGAATTCCTTTGGTGCCATTTTTAAAAAGATAACATTGAGGAAAAAGAAATCTAATTTTGGTGTGATAAACTGAACAGCACCTGGATAAACTATGTAGAGAATGGGAGTGTTAGTAAATATGCATACTAGAAGTAAACATACTCTGTTAAATACACTAATTGCACATCTGATAGCTTGACAATGCAGCAAATGCCTAAAGGAACACAGTGATATGTGTCTACCTGACTGCTTTATACAATAAACTACAAAATTTCTTCACGTTCTGTACAACACACCGCAAATGCAGGCTATAATTGAACTCTTACCAGAAAGACAAATGTTTTTTTATGAACCAGACAAAAAAAATGAGGTTAATATGAACTGTATAATATAAGATTAATATGAACTCTATAATTAATATTACAAAAAAGTTTTATAGTGATGTGGGACTGTAAGGATGAAAATATGTGCACGCTTAGATTATTAGCATTGCACGACTCCCTCGTCCTTGTAAGGGGAATAATAATGGCTATTGTTAGAGGTGTTAAGAAAAGCTTCAAAAATTAGCCATTCTTCAGACACAGCTTTCATATATTATGCTGAGGCTAGGGTTGGGGCGTCATTGTCTCAAGCCTTTGAGGGGCATGTAGGAAGACTTGGCCACTGTGTGTTTAGCAGTTGCACATGGACCAACAGTGCCACACACAATGTAGCCTGTCTTTGGGCCTCAATGGCCCATGTCTTTTTCCAGGCAGAGGAGGCTGAGGCATGCTTTGGAAGTGTGCTGATGATGGGGCCTTATGCTGTACACAAGACCCACATCTGCATGGACAGAATCAAATGGATTCAAAGCCCTCACTGGGCCAAGGCTGGCTAACTGTGGCCAGCGAAAGGTCTCATTCTGTCTTAAGCTGGTTCCTATTATTTTCTTTAATGTAAGATGACAGCTATTGCCCTTGAGAACTTAGAATAGAAGAGGTACTTTATTCAATTCTGCAAGGAAACTGGGGAGTTCTTGTACATCCTATCTTACTCTCCATGTAAGAGACAAACACAAATGTACATATACAGGTGAGAGAAAGTTTTAAAGTCAGTATGTAGGGTCAGCCAGCATCCAGCACCCCTGGAGCAGTTGACATGATTATTGTGTAATTACTCAGGTTATATTATTGCTCTGCTTGCTACAGGATTTGAAACCATAGCCATCCACAGATCCCTAACCCACTGAGCTACACACTAGCCCCAAGTTGACAGATATGCAGGTACCTTGTAAAACTGACTGGATTTTAGGTTTATTTGTGCCACTATTTTTGTATTTTTGTAAAAAAAATATATATTTACTATTTTTGTGTGCAGTATTGAATGAGTAATGAACTTCCTCCCAAATATCTAAATGATTCAAGGTACAGCTGGACTGCTGATATAAGTCTTGCTATATTCGCTAGACACCAGTAGCTGGCAAATATGAAAGCATTTTTGGTGGGAGTTTCTGGGAATGATCTTTCTCACAGCTGCTAGGTTATGTCTGGGTGCTTGGTTGGATGGTTAGAACTACTGGTTAGAGCTCAGGGCAATGAGCAGGTTATAAGGTGCTAGGTAGTTAGTCTCTTTATCTGGAAAATGATGCAGAGACTCACCACTGTATGAGTCAGTTTGGTTGAGAGAAGAAACACCTGATGTGTCGTTATAGGTCTCCTCTGTAACACATTCAACACCAAAACCATCAACAGCCAAAGGAGCAAAACCAACACTCAAACAACTGTGCACATGAATGAGGTGTTTTTTTCAAGAGAATAAACTAGGGCTGCTGTAATTAGTCAATGCTGAAAATGCATTGACATCAATATTTAAAATCAATGCATCTTTTTAAAATTATTTTAATGGAATTACCTTTATGATTTCTAAAATGATTCAGTTTATTACAACAATTGTTTTCCTTTGATATGCAATCATCTGAGTGATTCAAATTACCACTAAATAAAGAAGTGGTTTGTACACTGTGCAGAATTTCAATGGCATATCATGGCGGCACTAGCGCTATGCACAAGCACCTGAAGAAGGAAACACACAAACAGTATTCTGGATGGACCGCCAGAAAAGGGCAAAACCACCCTGTTGTCTATTCATGTTTATTAAATTACCATTTGTACAGAGTAGGGGATTTTCTAGCTATTTAAAAGATCAGGGGCTAAGTTAAGTTTACCTGGGGTTTGACTTTTTTTATTTTGAAGAAAGATTGTCATCGGGCTAAAATATTCGGGGCTATAGCCTCAAGTGATTGGATCTTTTTAAATATCTTTTGTTCTTGTAGCTGCTAAATGTACTCATTATTAAAGCCATACAGTTTTCTGCCTGCTACCTTAGAATCTTCATTGAATGAATGTTAGAGAAATGTTTAGGCAAAAATCTGGGCTTATTCTACACCACACTTGATGGTGCCGGTGTATGTGTTCATGCATGCTGGGCTTATTGGGACCAGTGTCATTACCGTAAACTAAAAGTGAAACAAAAATAGACACTAAATAAAAGAAAATAATTTGTCAAATGAAAACTATATTTACCAAAAAAAAGTGCCAGATTTAAATCAGCAAAAAGTATGGCCACACCACCAACATATTTTAACGTTGTTCATCCACAATTTCTCCTCTTTTAAAAAAGCTGTCCCTTTTTTCACTGCGGCTTCAGTGCTTATCGCTTCTATGATTTACCAAAACAGTAGCACGTGGTACTTTGCTAAACGAATTTAATAAGCATAAATATAGGTCGAATTTATACAGATTACTTACTTTTGGACATCACAATATTAATATATATACTATTAATCTGCTTATCCAATTGTGGGTGAAAAATAACGTCCATATGGTGCCAGCATCCATTATCTAAAGCCCTGCAATAACAACAGTTTGTTATTGTCAAAATAAAAATTTTAACTTAAATGGTAAACTTGATTTTCTGGAGGAAAATTAATCGTTTAGATTAATCAACCAATCAGTAAAATAGTCTATAAATTAATTCATAGTCTTTAGTAGCAGCCCTAGAATGAACAAACCATCTACCTGCTGTTTAAGAATTTAAAAGTAAGACTGCATCATAACAATCATAATGAATTCAATTCTGTCTATATCCCATCAAATCCAAATTCCTACTACCGAGTATATACCTGCAGCAAAAAACACCGCTATAGCCATAGTTATTTTTTAGCCGATCAGAATTTCCTGGCAAAATGCACCTTAAATGCCACAGGGAGACTTCCAGAGAAAAAAACAACAACAATAGAGCTCATTGCTCATCTAGATACAGTTTATGCTAGACATTTATGTAAGATGGCCAGCAACATTATCAAGAACTCAACCCAACCAGACCACAAACTGTTTGCTCCTCTCCCATAGGGAAAATGATACAAGACCATCAGGATATGTACCAACGGCCTACAGCCTCTTCCCCAGAGATGTAGCCTGTATCACACCCCCTTTCCCACACAACCACACACCACAAATGGTCACCTTTGTACCTTTTCCTTGGAGTGGTAACTACATACCAAGTGCAGGGCTGCAATGTACATAGAGCCTATTGCAGGAAGCACTGCATGCAAGCAGGGGATGTCAGCCCTTCAAGGGCACACACTCAAAGTCAAACACCATGGAGTGACAGACAGAAATTCATCAAACTGCATGTCTTCAATATGTGGGAGGAAATCCAAGTCATTATGGAGGAGTGAAATGTATTGCTGTCCACTAAGTCACTGAACTGTCCCTGGTGTATTATTATTATACTCTATGTCATTGATAGCTCACCTTTACATGCAAATAAATATACAGTCAACATACAAATGTAGATAATCCTTAGAACCTGACTTCTGTGATGTAAACTGCCATAGCAAGGAAATACCCCTAGATGGCCATACATCACATGCAATCTGCATGTCACTGAAAGACACCATAAAAAGTAGAAGAATGTCTACAGATCCTGTGGATACAGACAGCCAAAGCATCAACATTCAGTATTCAGCTACAAATAAGCAGTCATGCATGAGGTATAATAGCCAAGACTCACTTGTGAGCACTTTGAGCGTGAAAGGATTCTTCTGTTGGATGGTATGGGTGAATAAGAATCGGGCATTGCAGCTGTAGTCTGTTGCAGCATCCCTTGCCAGGACATTGGAGAAGTACAGGTCACCATTCAACCCCATGGACACCCGCTGGTCCTGAGTGATAGGCTGCATGGCTTTAAATAAATTGATAGAATCAGACTGAAATTATGCTACCAATAATGTCAGAACTACATATAAATAATAAAAAAACACATTATTCTGTCTCAGTTTGCGGAATACTGTGCTGTAGAGTGCTATAGTGTTACATACAGTGCTTGACAAAAGTCTTGTCACTTAACCAAGTTGTAGGAACAATAAATAATAACTTGACCTGTAGTTAATCAGTTGG